AAAAAAAAAAAAAAAAAAAAAAAAAGCAAGCCAAGCCAAATCAGAACAAAACAAAACAACAAACCAAACAGTGATCAACCAACCCCCCAGTCCAAGGTCTGTATGAATATGCTGAAAGACCCAGGAATGTCTCCAACCTCAACTGACTGGGGTAGTGCTGGAGAAATGATGACAGGCACAGACAAAGATGGATATAAATGAAACAGTTTCAGAAGAGAAGACAAGTTTGGAAAGAAGAAAAAGAGAAGTATTGTGACATGTTTGAGTCCCCAGATTGTGCCAGAAAACTAAAGGGAAATGTATAGGTATTGTATATGAAAGTTTATTTCATATTCTCTCTCCTGTACTAACAATACAACATGATCCCATTGTACCTATTATCTCATCCTGTCTGTTGTTTTGCACAGCCAAATCCTTTTATGTAAGCTGTTACATCTCACCTGACTTCAGTCAGCAATGGCAACATATACCAGCTGTCTCTCCCTGTGCATCCCCCTCCATTCCTGCCAGTTCTCTGATCTTTTCAGGAAGACCTCCTTTTTTCACCAATTGTTTTGTCTTTCAGATCTGAGACTTATGATGATTTACTATCCTTTCCAGCCTCATGAACTCTTCTTCACTGTTCTTAGTTCTGGTGGTTGTTTTCTAATAGTCAGCCTTCCAGTTACCTTAAGATCTCTTACCTGTATTTGTTGTTTCTAATTTGGTACTCTCTAATTTAATTATCTGTATTCCAATATTAATCTTGAAAGAAATACAACTGTTTATAAATAAGCATTGCATGGAACTCTATTGTTGCCTACAGCACATTGCTGAAAGGGCTCATGAAAAAATTAGAGAAAATTCCACATGGTGATCTCATTGATTTTCCTTCTGGCTAGGAAAAACATTTGTTTAGCAAGACAAACTTCTTGAACATATTATAGCTTACAAATGGAGTATGACATATACCCACTTGTTTGTCATGTCAAAGGTGATTTATTTCTGGATGAGAATAAAAGAAACCTTGTGATTCAGCTACTTCAGCATTGAAGTTAGCCACACTTTCAGCTGAACTTTGCTGCTATTTGGACACCTCAGTGAG